ATAAATAAAAAAGTTTGTTATTAAAGAATCATTTTCAAATAATAAGCGATAATCATCACAAATATTAGTACTCCTTACACATGCGTTAGCAAGTAGCTTAATTAAATATTCATACATACTGTATGTCTATGCAAATCCATTTATGAATCAATATTGCTTTGATATTAATTCAGTCGGTTTGTCGCCTATCTGGCGAGGCGCGTCTATTTGCTATGCATTCCGCCAATGCAAACTATGTAACATAATTCTATGTGCATWTTCCTGTATACACCGATATATTTCCCATCAATACCTATATACATTGTGGAATCTTAAAACTTTMCGGTCACGTGCTGCACAGTTAACTCAGTTGACTGTCAATATTGGAAATTTAGGAAGTGCCATAGAACTTAAAAATAACACCATTACTCGTTTAAGCATTAATACTTTMGAAACTTTATCAATGTTAGTCAGTATTTGGTTTTTGTTTATTTTTTGTTTAAAATCAATGTAAATTTCCGAAATAGGTGAATCTACTGTTAACCATTATGACGAAGCTGCACACGTGTAACTAAAAATACGTTATTATTCAATGTTATGTGTGAGATGCCAAAACAAAATTCCGCTCGATGATGAGCTTTGTGCCAAGACAACAATTGCCAATGTATACGCCAAAATCACGCCACATTTTCGCAAGTAAATACAAACAAAATCCATTGGTGAATAATAAAAACAAGTTTCTCTTTYTTCATGTTGACCCACACAGAGCATGGAGCGTACATATATACAAACAACACTGGTGGCATGATTCACGCAAATTAAATGTACTTCATACAAATATGTACGCACGTATTTACGTACGCCCAACGTGGCTAAAACACTGATAAACTGGTATAATAGTCATTCATAAATGTACTGTTTATACGCAGATTTAGTAATTATGTATGTCAAATGTTTGTACATTCATACATATGTATGTATGCATGTTGTAAAATGTTTGTATCTATACTATTAAAAAATCTTACATATGTACAATATGTAAATATATGTATTTGTAAGATTCAAAATCAATGGAACACACAGTTTCTAAAATGTTAATACAATACATGTACATTCAATCATACATATTAACCGCCTTGAACGTGGGTGTGGCTCAAATTTTTGAATGAGATAAAGGGAATATATGTACATACATATATGTACATTGTATTTACCCATGTTATTTTCATAGCTTTGCTTATCGGCAACATTAACAATTAGTGAACATTTTTTTATCAGCTACTTTTACTAGCTAAACTGATTATTTGCAAGCGAAATTAACGCAATATTTRATTGGCTTTAAGAGTAGTCATCACAAGATGTTTTTTGTTTGTTTTGATTTTAATATTCGTATGATCAAATCCTACCTCGGAACAAAATGACTTTTACTTGGGTGGGAAATATAATGGTTCWATTTTTTTTTATTTTTGGATGAGAATTTTACTTAGCAAGCTGTATCATAATTTTATAATTCATTTATTCATAACATATAGATTTCTTTTTTAATTCAAATATTTCAATTTCACAATCAATGCTGATAACTAAACTATCATAAGTGGTCCGTCGAAGATAACATTCGGCAAAATTTCAATGCCACTCTAAGATTATGAAAATAAAAAGCAGACTCTTCTGATGCGATATATATAATAAGTTAATATTTCATCAAAATTGTTAAGTGTAGGTGTACTAAATAACAATTTTTAATTTAATCAATCTTATCTAGTGACGCTCGATTGCGTGCGAAAGTAAACAAAACGTTCTTCCGTATTTTATGAGTTTATTTAGTTATCTGAAACATTTGACGGAACGTGTGATATGGTTAGCTCAAAGACAAGTGACGCAATTTTAAGAAAAATGCATCTASCTGCTTAGTATATTTTAATGTACGATTTATATGAAATGAATATTATTAAAGGTTATGCTTAATCAATTTCWGCTAAGAGCGAAATTTTTTATCATTAAATTGCAGTGCAAAAGAATGAGTTTCTATTTATCTTTGCGGTAGTGGAGATATATATAGTATGTATATGGAAATGTTATATATGTACATTTATATCTCGGAAAGGAAACAGTTTATCCATATACTCTCATATTCCCACATATATCTTTGTACTTTCATATGTATGTACATATGTACATAAATATTTACGAAATTAATGCAGATATGCCCTCGAGGTTTAAAGAAGCATACATCCGCACTTCAATGGAAACAAAATATATTTATCCACTTTAAAAGAGCTCAAAGCAAGAAGTACAACAGAAGCTGAACGTACAAGTACTTGACACAGTGAACTTATGCCACGCAAGTTAAAGATGTTTAGCCGCCAACGTGTCATTTCTACGATTTTACTAAATCAGTATTTTTAGCAGATTTTGAGCATTTGTAGCTCACATACTACTGAATTATAAAAAAAATCATATGAAAAACYTATTGGATATGCATAAATAAATATTGAATCATAATCTATACTAACGTYACGTATTTTCAAACTTAATGAGGTGTTATTTCTGCCCTATTTGTTAAATTCTTATTTTTACATACCTGCTATAGTAAAGCGATCCATATAGTTGATTAAATTCACAAAGCACAACACCACCACTGTGAACCATTGTGTTCTCGTGATGCCGGTAGTTGGCGGTTGTACAACAACGCTATCCGTGTCTGAATTTGGAGGCATTAATTGCTGCGACGAACAGGTGGCGGGTAGACTAGCTTCCACAGAATTACTATCGGCCTCCACATCACCACTGGACCCAGACAAAGCGGGATTGTCCATTTTGGTTATTGGCAAATAACGAGCCGACGATTGTGAAGACATTCACGTGGAATTTTTACAAAAATTCCAAACAGTCTAAATTAATAACCGCGCGCACACGTACACCGCAGCAATTATGATCTGCGTTACAAATTTATATACTTTACTTCACTATTTTATGCAGAASAATTTCGTAATTCCTATTGTTTCCTAATTTTAGCGGTCTTTGCAGAAATTTGACTCGAACATAAATTTYTTTGACGTTCCTTTATTTGCTCTGTTTTAGCGAAATCTTGCTTTCAATTTCGTACCTTATTCACTGACCTTGGTTTTATGTATAATTTTTATTCTCTACTTAAATAGGTGCGATATCCCTTGATAGGTCACACTATATTATTTTTAAATCTTTKAATATTCACAATGTTTTAAAATGTAAGCAATGTAATAATAGAAAARGTATATTTCCCGCAAGTCGGCGTTCCTATTAATTCACTTATTTTAAAATTTGCCAACTAAACGCGAGAGAAGTGTAAAAACAACTGCCGACTCGATATGAAAGTCCAACAATTTTACTCAACTCTGATTGGAATGATAGCTAGGGTTGCATCATCACATTATTACAATAACCCGCTCTTTGGGAAACGACTGATATATTTACAACGTGTGAAAAATGGTTCAGGCAGCTCTGGCATGAGCTATGAAATCTGACACATTTTTCACAAACGTCATGAATAAGAAAACATCAAAATTGTAAATTGTCATACGCCAGTTGACTGTGTTCATGGAACTGCCCCTATTTTCACTCATATTTGTTTATTTTAAAATGATAAAATAAATAAATGTGTAAGTTTTTTTCTTAAGTCTAATATAATATTAAAACATCATATGTGGTTGGAATAGTCATAATTATTAGTATTAATATTTTAAACCCAAAGTGTGAGCATTTAAAGGGTTAAGACATCAWCCGTGATATGTCAATTCCGGCAAACCGCCAAATTTAGTTAGCGTCTTTGTACTTCCGCTTGAATTCATCTTCTTGCCTTGTCTGGTAGAGAAATAAGTTGTTTGGGTGGACAATGGTTGGATGCCTAATTAATCTTGTTAATTAAAAACTCCCTTTTCGAAGGCGAAAGTGGTAAGGTTTCCTTCAAACAAGCTAGCTTAAAGTTATGTAAAGTATGTTTAAATGCTTTTTTAGGTTCCCTAGTCTATAYAACAATGTGAAAATTTCGAGGAATGTGCATTTTGAAATATCGAGTTAATTTTATTCCTAACGCTTTGCAGACACCAGCATTTTTAGAAATATTTTTTGACACCATATTTGCTTTCTGCATTATAAAAGGATTTCAATTCAATGGAACACATCAATATCAAAAAATGTAKGTATGTACCATATATTTGCATGCCTTCATTTTTTTCAGTTTCGTAAAGGATTAATCAAGTTTTACTTAAAGTTGAGATCTTAACAAAAATTATGCTTATTCATTCAAAATCAATAATTATTGCAATTTAAAAACAATTTTTGGCTTACAGAGATTATAAAAGGTATGATTTCATAAAGTAAACTTAGTGGACATTTTCCTTCGTTTTTATATAGCACATTTCTGTTGGCTTAAAATTAATTTGAAACGGAATTAATACTATTTTATCCTTAAATATTAGCATTAGGATTCTTCTGGTTCGGTTTTAATTGTTATTAAAGCATTAAACAAYACCCGCATTGCTTTTGCTTGTTTCGCGTGACTCATTTCCGAAATGATTGCTGCCACTGTTTGACCAAATAAATTTATTGAATCATTAGTTTTTACCGTCATTATGKTATCTCTGCAAGTTTCGGGTGATTCAAAAAACTTGTCCTGATTACCATTTGGCATTATCATCTTTTCTCTACAATCTTCAATTGTTCGAGCAAATAGCTCATTATCTGGAGGCATCGACATTGTATCTATAAAAAATTCCTTTTTGCATACTAAGGTTGGAGAGTTACATGCCCTTGAAACCTCATTTGGRTCAGTGCCGTCAAGTTTCCGTCTCTTCCTTTTTATCGCAACCATAGCCGAATCCTTAGAGCCACGGGTACTGTAATATGATTTTATTAGTAAAAGCACAATTCATATGCATAACTATACATTTACTGTCGTGGCTTAACGGAATCTCTTAAAAACGATAGAGAATTAAATAAAGGCCACTGAACACATAAACTAGCATCATCATTGCTTTCAGAAAGCGTTTCCGCTTGCTTTAGTTCTCTGGTATAACGTTCTCGTAAGCTTCTCCATCTGCTAGAACATTCTTCGGCTAGAAAGTGTAAGTTTATTTCATGCCACAATYAAATAAGTTTGTTTACTAACCAGTTATACCCATCAGTTCGGAGATTTCAAACCACGCGTCTGCCTTTTGACTAGACGACGTAAGCCCTAAACAGCTTTTCTGGTAAAGTACATCATGATCACGTACCAGTTGAATTAACATCTCGTCGTTCACTGAAAAATAATGCGCAAATTCACAAATTTATCAATTAATTGGTTATTATACACTGAACAAGGTATAYGAAGTTTTTTRCGAATTTTGTAACACCCTATAATATATATATTTATGTAAAAGATCAGCATGATGAGCAGAGCAATTTAGCTATGTTCGTCCATCTGTCTGAATATATGTATGTGAACTAGTTAGTTTTAAGATATCGAACTGAAAAAATTCTGCACACGTCCTTTTCTCGCSAAGAAGCTGCTTATTTAACGGAATCGCCGATATAGTACCACTACACAACTGAACAATCAATATCAGGTTCCTATATGGCATATCGATATAATCTCTGAAGGAATTATTCAGATCAGAACACTATAATATATTATGTTCTTGGATGGAATTTCTGGCGGGTATTGTAGTTTCGTGGCTTACTTCGTTTTTCTTGTTGTTATTTCATTTTCATAGTATTACACTTTGAGAGTCCTCTACATGGCATAAGCACTTGCTTACCTTCATTCAATATGCTTCGCCCCCTGAAATTATACTTTATATTTTATATTGTTAATTTTTACATTAATATAAGCTTACTGCCGTTGTTTAACAAATTGCCTTAAAAATGAAAATGCGCCAAACAAAGGCCACTCCACTACATAGTTGTCGTTATTTTCAACTAGTTTGAGTTCTCTGGAATACCGTTCCCTTAAACTTTTCCACCTTTTGGCGCATTCTTCGGCTACATAAAAATCAAAAAAATATTAACAATTATTCTTGAAAGTATAAACATAAACACCCTCTACAAACCAGTCAACCCCAATTCCTCGCCAATTTTTATCCAAGACTCGGTTTTTTCTCCAGCACCTTTATACCCAGTACAATGTTTGTTGTACAGAATCTCATGGTTTTCCACCAATTCGATCAGTCGTTCGTCTTCGAATATTCTGCAAAATTATAAAATGTACAAAAAAAACAAACACAACATTAATTACATAGCCTTTATGATTTCAAATATTTTATTCGTTATTTTTAGTCGCAATAATTTATACATAACACAACCCCTTTTATGTCATGGCTTATAAGTATTGAATATTATTTTGCCTTCTTAGCTACCAGCACTGACACTTATTATGTTATGCCGTACATAATTGTTTAGTTTTTATTTAAGAAACAATTATTTACCCCGAACATATACTCATTTCTTTAACACTAATCTCTGTTATTTAGCAACAAATTCAAGAATATATTCATTTAAAATACGATTTTCTTGGAAATAATGTAAAATAAAATAAACCATCACGCATAACAAATATTTCAGAACTGTCAACAAATTCCAACTGGAAACTTTAAGAAGATGTCATTGTGAACTGTTTGCTTGCATAGAGTTGCCAAAGTTCAAACTTATTTCATTTATATTTAAATATAATATAATATTCTAATTTTCAAAAATAATTACAGACCATTTTTTGCGATTTTTACGAATCTAGTTTTGTACAATCGCAACATATTGTTACAGAGTATTATTATATTATATATGGACATACATATATAGGGCATGAGGAGGGCAAGACGAGTAGAATTCCGATTGACTGAAATTGAATTCTGGTCAGAAAAATAAAAAAAATCACTTTAACCAAGAATATTATCATTTATATATTTAGGCAAGAAATATAAATACTAATTCTTAAAAAAGTCTTTCGAAAATCGGGACTCTATCGCTAATTGCGTGGTTTTGCCGCTTATACATAGTTTAAATATCATTTGAAATTTTATTCTTTTTTCGAGAACCAAAGTTTGAAGAGTAATTTTATACTTTACCTTTGTTATCAGTTTATGGTTGGGTTCTTCCTAAGTATTTGGTGTATCGATCCGTGGTTTATTGGGTAATAACAAACTACTATTAATAATTCATAGTTTGTTGGTGTCGCACGTTTCACAAATGACGTAAATACATAGATTTTCGTGACAGGAATTCCGATCAAATACTTTTGTTAAGCTTTCGGCATTATCAATTTAACTTTAAACATTTGAGCCAGTTTAAAAATTGACTAGCTCTATAAAGTGTCAAGCTTTTTTATGCATTTTGCTCATGGAGTAATCTCTACGATCCTAATGGTATAAATAGTAGGTGTGGCCTTGTATCTAGGAATGTGGGYTAAATTTGAAATGGGTAGCTTGATTGTATTAACATCTGATCAGTTTTATGATTGGATAGTGGATAGTTACCTACTATATGCCGGCAGACGCTGGATGTGCACTCAGAATTTTTAATAAAAAGCTTTATCAAATCTCCATCAYTTGGGGTTTTTGCTTATTTTCAACCACTACTGCATACAAATAACCAACCGTCTCACCTTTCCGACACACAACACTCGTAAATACCGCAAGAAACTGGACATCACATTCAATGACTTCATAATCTACAATTTYGCAATAAATAAAATGGACACACGCAATTCGTAAGATTATGACGGGCGCCTCTACTGCATACAAATCAATGTCGCGAATCTCCTAAARAGTGCGTAAAATGATTGAAAGCGGTCAATTAATTCATTTTGTTCTACGAGTTCCTTATTTTCTCATATATAAACGGTTTCATTGCCGGCTAAGGTTCAGTAGTTAATTGTATAAAGGAACAGGTGTACGCCGCCGCCACACAAAAAATGGACAGTAAAGAGACCCGCATTGTGTTGTTGCGCATTTTGGTGGTGGCCATTATATTGACATCGGTTGCGGCGCATTCGAAATTTATACCGTCATTCGGCAAACCAAATAAGATAATATCGAAACCGGTCGTGGTGAAGCCCGTCATTGTCAAGCCGATTATTGTGAAGCCCGTGGTCCTTCCAGTTGGCGTTGGTGGCGGTGGTGGAGGTCATGGTCATGGCCACGGTCATCATGGGCATCATGGCTGAAATTAATATGTTTTTAATTCTTYTCTATGTATATCTCATTTGAAATCCGCAAGTAACCATAATTGTAAATTGTATATTTAGGTATGTTAGTTCGATCTTTTGCTTTTAAAAAATAAAAAAATGCGTTTAACAAAAAAGATGTTTTTGTGTTTCTCAACTCGACAACTCTTCTTCTTCTTGTTTATTGGAGTATG